CAGGCATTCCTTCCGTCAGCAGTGGCAGTACTGTATGTGAGCAAAAAGTACTGAGCCAGAATGTATATATAGCTCTTCAGTACTGTATATATGGGACACCACGATCTCTCTCTCTCTCTCTCTCTCTCTCTCTCTCTCTCCTCACCTCTCCCCACCCATCTCTCTCTCCTCACCCATCTTTCTCACCACCACAGCACCATAAGAGCACACACATCCTGACCACCGAAGGGTCAAGACGTACCTGGCGCTTCCTCGAGCAGCCAGGTCAACTATTGTTGGCCCATACCAACCCTCTGAACCCTCCCCACCGGAATATCAACAAGTTCTCGCCAGAAGTTACAATTTCATTTAGGAAAGGAACGGAACCAGTGTTAAAACAGAGGAACGTGAACAGTGCTAAGTCAGTGAGAACAACTCAACAGTAACAGTCGTACCCAGTTAACCTTCACACAGTGAGGTCCCAGGTACCAGTGATGACGGCCCGAGACACAACAACAACCAGCGATGAGTTAATCCGTTCACGATAGAGGCCTGGGACCAAACCTCACTCATATAACACCATCCGTGAGGGAATTACTACACCACATGTCCCTCATAACACCATCTGTGAGGTAATTACTACACCACGCGAGGACCCTCATAACACCATCTGTGAGGGAATTACTACACCACGTGAGGCCCCTCATAACACCATCTGCGAGGGAATTACTACACCACGCCAGGTCCCTCATAACACCATCTGAGGGAACTACTACACCACGTGAGGTTCCTCCTAACACCATCTGTGAGGGAACCACTACACCACGTGAGTGCCTCCTAACACCATCTGGGAGGGAGTTACTACACTACATGTTTGCTGTTCAACACCTACATTAATCTGTATGTTCACTGTATGTTCCTTTACCTTTCTCTAATGAAGGCTTTTGTTAAACCACCAATGTATGTAATAAGTCATTTATGTCCAATGTATATTTTCAGCCTTCGGGCTGCACAATTTTTTCAATAAACCGTTAATTATTATTATTATTATTATTATTATTATTATTATTAAGAGAGGCGGCCACCACTCCCCACTTTCAACACGCTGCCGGGGAAAAAGTCGTCACACTTGTTCACACTAGACCGAGTAAACTGGTTATCACCCGATAAACAATGTGTTCTACCTTACCTGTCACACTTGGCCAGCTGTCACACTTGGTCAACTGTCACGCATGGCCAACTGTCACACTTGGTCAGTGTCTTGCCATCACACGGCCAGCTGTCAAATGGCCAGTTGTCACACATGGCCAGCTGTCACACTTGGTCAGTTGTCACACTTGGCCAGCTGTCACACTTGGCCAGCTGTCACACTTGGCCAGCTGTCACACTGGCCAGCTGTCACACATGGTCAATTATCACACTTGGCCGGCTTTCACACACGTGGTCGGTTGTCACACCAGGTCACGTAAACCTACCGTACGTACAAGTGCGGGAAGAAAGTGGTGACCCTGTCTTCTCTCTCGGCAAGGGACGTCTCCGTGAATAGCTTTGTCAGTAACCCTTGTCTCTCTCTACTATTAATTGTCCCCAAATTTTATATATATATATATATATATATAAATATATATATATATATATATATATATATATATATATATATATATATATATATATAAAATAAATAAATGTACAAAAATAAAAAAATAAAAAAAATTAAATAAGAAATAATTGTATAAACAAACAAAAAATGTAAAAAAAAAATAAACAATAAAAGTATAAAAAAATTGTAAAAAAAATAAAAATTAAAAAATCTATATATTAATAATACTAAAATAACTGAAGAGTAATTGTTAAATATAAAAAATAAATAAAAATACACAGGTGTATATATCAGATTGAGTGAAGGTTCTCTCTACTCCCCTCACCCCAGTTTACTTCTTAATTAAGAGTAATCACCCTAACGCTAACCTAATCTAACATAACGCTAACTCAACATAACACTAACCAAAGCTAACGTAACACCAACGTTAACCTAACATAACGCTAACTAAAGCTAACGTAACACTAACCTTAACCTAGCCTCACCTAACAACGCTAACCTAACCTAACACTAACAAAAGCTTACGTAACACTAACGTTAACCTAAAACACTAGCGTTAACCTAACACTAACCAAAGCTTACGTAACACTAACCTAACTCTAACCTAACACTAGCGTTAATCTAACCTAACCTAACGTAACACTAACCTAACCTAACCTTATTTCCCCCAAATAGTGTTGGGTGGTTAATCATCAGGTGAAATAAGCTTGAATGTCTACTCTTCAGGTGATATAAGCTGGGTGGTAATCATCAGGTGAAATAAGCTTGAATGTCTACTCTTCAGGTGAAATAAGCTTAAATGTCTACTCTTCAGGTGAAATAAGCTTAAATGTCTACTCTTCAGGTGATATAAGTGGGGAATCACAGTAAATAAGCTTGAATGTCTACTCTTCATGTTATAGCTTGGGTGTAATCATCGGTGAAATAAGCTTGAATGTCTACTCTTCAGGTGATAGGCTGGGTGGGTAATCATCAGGTGAAATAAGCTTGAATGTCTACTCTTCAGGTGATATAAGCTTGGGTGGGTAATCATCAGGTGAAATAAGCTTGAATGTCTACTCTTCAGGTGATATAAGCTGGGGTGGTCTAATCTTCAGGTGACCAATCCAGCTGGCTTACACACTGATAAACCCGGAATTAATATCATATCAGTCGTAGTGATGTAACCCCCACCGATCAGCTGTCATTAGTGGTGTAATTTGACTGGTAACTATCAAGAGTGATTAGCCAGCAATCTGACCCGACTGATAAACCACGCTGACAGGACAACACCACTGGGCTGATAACTGGACACACACACACCTCTAACATGGGGTGGGGTAAGGTGGGGTGGGGTGTGGGGTGTAAGGTGGGGTAGGGTAAGGTGGGGTAGGGTGGGTGTGGGGTAAGGTGGGGTGTGGGGTAAGGTGGGGCGGGGTGGGGTAAGGTGGGACGGGGTGGGGTAAGGGGCGGGGGGGGTGGGTACAAGTAGGGGGGGTGGGGGGTAAGGACGGGGTGTGGTGGGGGGGGTTAGGTAACGTCGTACAGGTGGGATGGGGTGGACACTGGGCTGAGTTAGATGGGGGAGGGGTGGGGGGGTGAGGGGAGGTGGGAGGGGGAGGGGTGAGGGGTGGGGGGTGAGAGGGAGGGTGGGGGTGGGTGGTAAGAGCTAGTAGCGCCTGGATTAAAACACCACACCGGCCCCCTTGATAACCAGAGCCACCGTGGTCACCTGTACACACTAATCAATCCAACTCATATGAGGTGAAACGTGGTTGACCTCCACACACACACACACACACACCTTGCCACATCTCTCACACACATCCTCTCTTCTACCTCCTTCCCACTCCCCCTCTCATACGGCCATCCCCTCCCTCTCATCATCTTGTCATACTCACCCTTCCTTTCCCTCCTCCCCCTCCCTTCTACTGTCATGCTGAATCCCTCCCCTTCCTCCTCAACAGCTCACCCCTCCTTCCTCCCTGTCATCATATTACCTCCTTCCTCCCTCATACTCACCCCTTCCTCCTCCCTCCCTCCTCCTCCTTCATCATACGGTCAGCCCCTCCTCTAGTAACATTTCCGCTGCTCCCAACATACTCCCCTTCTCTCTCCCCGACAACAACCGACACCACTAATGACCTCTCCCTTCCTTCTGCGAACAAAACAAATAAACAAAGATCACCTGAAGATTAACCACCCTAATGCTGCTACCTGAAAGTACTAACCTAACCTAACCCACATTAGCTAATTCTGAGCCACTAACCTAACCTAACCCACATTGACTAATTCCTGACCCACCCTAACCTAACCCACATTAACTAATCCTGACCCACCGTAACCAACCCACATTAACTAATCCTGACCCACTAACCTAACCTAACCCACATTAGCTATTCTGACCCGCTCCTAACCCAACCTAACCCACATTAGCTACTCCTGACCCACTTCAACCAACCATTAACTAATCTGACCCACCCTAACCTAACCCACATTAACTAATTCTGACCCACTCCTAACCCAACCCACATTAATTAATTCTGACCCACCCCTAACCCAACCCACATTAACTACCCTGACCCACTTAACCCAACCCACATTAACTAATTCTGACCCACCTAACCCAACCCACATTAACCATCCTGACCCACCCTAACCTAACCCACATTATTCAATCCTGACCCACCCTAACTAATCCTAACCTACCCTAACGTGGGAGAGGAGGAAGGGGGAGTCAATGGGGAGAAGAGGGAGAGGTTAATATGGGGAGGAGAGGAATAAAGGAGGGTAATGGGGAGGGGTTAATGGGGAAGGTTAATGGGGGGAGGGTTAATGGGGAGAGGGTTCAGATGACCGTCACAAAATAAACATGTTTCCTGAAATCGTGTCAACATCCCTCATCTTGTCTCTTTCCATCTATGACTAAACAAATGAGAAACACACAAACACAACACTGAGAAACACATATACAACACTGAGAAACACACAAACACAACAGTGAAACACACACAACACTGAGAAACACATACACACAACACTGAGAAACACACACACACAACACTGAGAAACACATACAACACTGAAACCATACACAAAACAATACTGAGAAACACACAAACACAACAATACTGAGAAACACACACAACACAGAGACATATAAAACAGATAATAACAAAACATGAATGAGATTGGCCAAGGAGGGGGGTGACGAGGCAGCAGCCCTGATTGGAGTGTGGGGGTGGGGTCATGCAGTGGGCAATCCGAGTGAATAATGGTGTGTGTGTGTGTGTGTGTGTGTGTGTGTGTGTGTGTGTGAGTGAGGAGTGAGTGAGTGAGTGAGTGAGTGAGTGAGCGTGTGTAGAGGGGGGGACACATGCAGTGGGCAGCTATAGTAAGTGCTGAGAGAGATATATAACAATAAACCAACCAACAGCCTTACCTCCCACGGCGTCCAGCATGCGGTAAAATCTGTACTCCAGGTGTAGCTGGGGAGCCTTGGCCTTGATCGGCTCCTGAAACACAGAACACAGACACACGGTCAGTTCACCTTAACGACACCACACTACACTACACCACACTACACCCCACCACACTACACTAGATAACATGACACTATACTACACCCCCACGACACTATACTACTACACTAGATTATGACACTATACCACATACTGCACTACACTAGATTACATGACACTATATTAACGTGACACTATACTACACTACACCCCACCTGTCATATCAATAATGTTTGCCTCAACCAAATACACGAGTCGGCCAACAACTAAGTCCACACACACACACACGCACACACACGCACACACACACACACACACACACACACACACACACGCACGCACACGCACGCACACACACACACAACACACACACACACACACACCACGTACCCTTCAGTATATAGGTCAAATATAACGTGTTAAGTAAGAATATTTAGTTGACTTTTTTTTAAGTCTTTTGTTACTATGATGGTGTGGTGGGTTAATGGTGGGGGAGAGGTGGGTTAATGGTGGGGGAGGTGGGTTAATGGTGGGGAGGTGGGTTAATGATGGGAGGAGAAGGGTTAATGGTGGGAGTGAGAAGGGTTGATGGTGGGAGTGAGAAGGTTAATGGTGGGAGGGAAGGGTTAATGGTGGGAGGAGAAGGGTTAATGGTGGGAGGAGAAGGGTTAATGGAGGGTGGGGGTGGGTTAATGGTGAGGTGGGTAGGTGGAGGTGGGTTAATGGTGGGAGGAGAAGGGTTAATGGTGGGAGGAGAAGGGTTAATGGTGGGGGTGGGGTTAATGGTGGAGGTGGGTTAATGGTGGAGGTGGGTTAATGGTGGGGTGGGTTAATGGTGGAGGGGTTAATGGTGAGGTGGGTTAATGGTGGGTGGGTTAATGGTGGAGAGGTGGGTTAATGGTGGGGAGAGGTGGGTTAATGGTGGGGTGAGAAGGTTAATGGTGGAGGAGAAGGGTATGGTGAGTGAGAAGGGTTAATGGTGGGAGTGAGAAGGGTTAATGGTGGGAGTGAGAAGGGTTAATGGTGGAGTGAGAAGGGTTAATGGTGGGGTGGGGTTAATGGTGGAGGTGGGTTAATGGTGGAGGTGGGTTAATGGTGGGTGGGTTAATGGGTGGGGATGGGTTAAGGTGGGATGGGGAGGGTTAATGGTGGAGGTGAGGTGGGTAATGGTGAGTTGGTAATGTAGTGGGGTTACTGGTGGGGGTGAGGTGGGTTAATGGTGGGGGTGGGTTAATTGTGGGGGTGAGGTGGGTTAATGGTGGGGTGATGGTGGGGTGGGTTAATGCAGCACCTGGTGATGACCTTCCACTGGTGGCTGTCCACACACACACACACACACCTATACTCACGTCAACTGACCTCCAAATAGTGCCTTTAAAATATACAAGTCATAATTATGTATGTATGCTGCTCATTTTCCACCTCCTCTCCCTAGCCTGTACCTCCCTCCCCAGCTCAGGCCTTCCCTCCACTAGCCTGTAGGCCTTCCTCCTCCAGTTTCCCCACCAGCCTGTACCTGCCCCACACACCAGTGAACCTACACCGGCAACCTGCTACTTGATAGACCTTCACCAGAGGAGTCAACACAGTATATTCCCCGGTGGACAAAACATCATACACATAGATTGTATACAGCATCACACCGAGCGAGGCGTCATGAAGACACTGTTATGCCAGGAACACACACACACACAGTACTGTAATCCGTACTGTGTGTGTGTGTGTGTGTGTCGCGGTGAATATTGCCAAGAATACCTCACTGATACATCCTGAGTCGTCAGCGGCGTCAGTGGCACGAGGGACTTTTGTAAACACTCAGGAGAGGACTCACCACTCACGGTGTTGTTACTGAGTACAGTTATTTAGCTCACTCACTCACCTCCCCAAAGACTGGAGGCATTAAGAGAATAGAAAGTGGCGAGGCGAGAACAAGGTGGAGGAGGGGGGAAGGGGAGGAGGAGAGGGGTAGGGGGAGGAGGGAGAGGGGTAGTGGGAGGAGGAGAGGGGTAGGGGAGGGAGGAGAGGGGTAGGGAGGAGGAGAGGGGTAGTGGGGAGGAGGGGAGGGGGTAGGGGGAGGAGGAGGGGTATGGGAGGAGGAGGGGGGGGTAGGGGAGGAGGGAGGGGGGTGGGGAGGAGGAGAGGGGTAGGGGTGGAGGAGGGGGGTAGGGGAGGGGAGGAGGGGGTAGGGGAGGAGGAGAGGGGTAGTGGGAGAGGAGAGGGGTAGGGAGGAGGAGGGGGGTGGGGAGGAGGGGAGAGGGGTAGGGGAGGAGGAGAGGGGTAGGGGAGGGAGGAGGGTAGTGGGAGGAGGAGGGGGTGGGAGGAGGAGGGGGGTAGGGAGGAGGAGGGGGGTAGTGGGGAGGAGGAGAGGTAGGGGTGGGAGGAGGGGGGTAGGGGGGAGGAGGAGGGGGTAGGGAGGAGGAGGGGGTAGGGAGGGAGGAGGGGTAGGGGAGGAGGGGAGGGGTAGGGGAGGAGGGAGGGGGTAGGGGAGGAGGAGGGGTAGGGGAGGAGGAGGGGGGAAGGGGAGGAGGGAGAGGGGTAGTGGGGAGGGAGAGGGGTAGGGAGGGGAGGGAGAGGTAGGGGAGGAGGAGAGGGGTAGGGGAGGAGGAGAGGGGTAGGGAGGAGGAGAGGGGTAGTGGAGGAGAGAGGGGTGGGTAGGGAGGAGGGGAGGGGGGGGGTGGGAGAGGAGAGGGGTAGGGGAGGAGGGAGAGGGGTAGTGGGAGGAGGAGAGGGGTAGTGGGGAGGAGGAGGGGGTAGGGGAGGAGGAGGGGTAGTGGGGAGGAGGAGAGGGGTAGGGGTGGGAGGAGGGGGGTAGGGAGGAGGAGGGGGGTAGGGAGGAGGAGAGGGGTAGGGGAGGAGGGAGGGGGTAGTGGGGAGGAGGAGAGGGGTAGGGGGGAGGAGGGAGGGGGGTAGGGGAGGAGGAGGGGGGGTAGGGAGGGGGTGAGGGAGGAGGAGGGGGTGGGAGGAGGAGGGGTGGTGGGAGGAGGAGGGGGTAGGGAGGAGGAGGGAGTGGGAGGGGGAGGGGAGGGGAGGGAGGAGGGGGGGGGGAGGGAGGGAGGGGGTAGTGGGGAGGGGAGGGAGGGGTAGTGGGGAGGAGGGGAGGGGGGTAGGGGAGGGAGGGAGGGGGTAGTAGGGAGGAGGGAGGGGTGGGGGGGGAGGGGAGGAGGGGGTAGGGAGGAGGGAGGGGTAGTAGGGGAGGAGGAGGGGGGAAGTGGGGAGGAGGGGAGGGGGTAGGGGGAGGAGGGAGAGAGGTAGGGAGGGAGGAGGGGTAGGGGAGGGAGAGGGGGGGGGGAGGAGGGAGGGGTGGGAGGGAGGGGAGGGGGGTAGGGGGAGGAGGAGGGGTAGGGAGGAGGAGGGGGGGTAGGGGAGGAGGGAGGGGTAGGGAGGGAGGGAGGGGGTAGGGAGGAGGAGGGGGTAGTGGGGAGGAGGAGGGGGGTAGTGGGGAGGGGAGGAGGGGGTAGTGGGAGGAGGAGGGGGTAGTGGGAGGAGGGAGGGGTAGGGGAGGGGAGGAGGGGTAGTGGGGAGGAGGAGGGGTAGGGGAGGAGGAGGGGTAGGGGAGGAGGAGGGGGGTAGGGAGAGGAGGGGGGGGTGGGGAGGAGGAGGGGTAGTGGGGAGGAGGAGGGGTAGGGGGAGGGAGGGGTAGGGGAGGGAGGAGGGGGGTAGGGAGGGAGGGAGGGGGGGTGGGGAGGGGAGGGAGAGGGTAGTAGGAGGAGGGAGGGGGTGGGGAGGAGGGGGGGGGGGAGAGGAGGGGGTAGGGGAGGGAGGGAGGGGTAGTGGGGAGGGAGGAGGGGGGTAGGGGAGGGGAGGGGGTAGTGGGAGGAGGAGGGGGGGTAGGGAGGGAGGAGGGATAGGGGAGGAGGAGGGGTAGGGGGAGGAGGAGGGGGTAGGGGAGGAGGGAGGGGGTAGTGGGAGGAGGGGAGGAGGGGGGTAGTGGGGAGAGGGAGAGGGGTAGTGGTGGGAGGAGGGGGGTAGTGGGAGGAGGGGAGGGGGTAGTGGGGAGGAGGAGGGGGGGGAAGGGAGGAGGGGTAGGGGAGGAGGGAGGGGTAGGGGAGGAGGAGGGGGGTAGTGGAAGGAGGAGGGGTAGGGAGGAGGAGGGGGTGGGGAGGAGGAGGGGGTGTAGGGAGGAGGAGGGGGGTAGGGGAGGAGGAGGGGGGTAGTGGGGAGGAGGGAGGGGTAGGGAGGAGGGAGGGGGGGGGTAGGGGAGGAGGAGGGGGTAGGGGAGGGAGGGGAGGGGGGGTAGGGGAGGAGGGGAGGGGGTAGGGAGGGGAGGAGGGGAAGTGGGAGGAGGGAGGGGGTAGGGAGGAGGAGAGGGGTAGGTGGGGAGGGAGGGGAGGGGGGTAGGGGAGGGGAGGGGGTGGGGGGGGAGGAGGAGAGGGGTAGGGGAGGAGGAGAGGGGTAGTGGGGAGGAGGGAGGGGGGTAGGGGAGGAGGGAGGGGGGTGGGGAGGAGGAGGGGTAGGGGAGGAGGAGGGGGGTAGGGAGGAGGAGGGGGGTAGGGAGAGGGAGGGGGGTAGGGGAGGAGGAGGGGGGTAGTGGGGAGGAGGAGGGGGTAGGGAGGAGGGAGGGGGGGTAGGGGAGAGGGGAGGGGGGTGTGGGGAGGGGAGGAGGGGGGGTAGTGGGAGGAGGGAGGGGGAAGGGGAGGAGGGGGGTGGGGAGGAGGGGGTAGTGGGGAGGAGGAGGGGTAGGGGAGGAGGGGGGTAGGGAGGATGAGAGGGGTAGGGAGGAGGAGGGGTAGTGGGAGGAGGAGGGGGTAGTGGGGAGGAGGAGGGGGTAGTGGGAGGAGGAGGGGGGGTAGGGAGGGAGGGAGAGGGGTAGTGGGGAGGAGGAGGGGGTGGGAGGAGGAGGGGGGTAGTGGGAGAGGAGGGGGGGGTAGGGGAGAGGAGGGGGTAGGGGAGGGGAGGAGGGGGGGTAGGGGAGGGAGGAGGGGTAATGGGAGGGAGGAGGGGGGTAGTGGGAGGAGGGAGGGGGGGGGTAGGGGAGGGAGGAGGGGGGGTAGTGG